CTGCAGTCCCGGTTGTCTCCTTGCCTTTGTAGCTTCAGGCAGGTGGTGCCCCTCTGGGCAATAGTTCCAATTTTTGTTTTCTTTTGTCTTGAGACAAAGGTTTCTCTGTAGAGCCCTGGCTGTCCTGGAACTCAGGCTGGCCTCCGGTTCGGTTCACAGAGACCTACCTGCCTCTGCCTCCCGAGTGCTGAGACTAAAGGCATGCGCCACCACGCCAGGAAAGTCCCAATTTCTTAAGTCATAGTGCTTTAAATATCGCCACCACCCTCGCCAAGTTGTTAAGTTAGGTGACTCCGTGTCATTGAGGGACCCCTAAGTAACCAATGCCAGTTGGTCTGGGACAGTGCGTTGTGCCATGAAGACTTCATCAGGCCTTGGGAAGGAGAAGACTGTCCCGAGTCCTCAGTTCTGCACACACACACAGTCCAGCAGTCCAGACCTGACTTTATCCAAGAAGGAAACCTGCCAAGAGAGTGCTGTGTGGCTTGGGAAGAAGTGGGCACCTGTTGCCAGCTGCGCTACCACCTCCGGGCTTGAGACAGGGTCTTGCTGGAGCAGCCCAAGCTGACCTTGCACTTACTAAAAAGTCAAAGATGACCATGAATTTCTGTTTCTCCTGTCTCCACCTCCCCGGTTTTGGGGTTGGGTGTGCATGATGGTGCCTAGGGTTAAAGGCGTGTGCCAGCATGCCCAAGTTTGATTCTATTTATTTAGTTATTTAGTTATTTTGGAGACAGGGTCTATGTGTAGTTCTAACTGTCCCGGAAAATTCTCCATGTAGACCGGGCTGGCCTCAAACTCATAGAAATCCACCTGCCTCTGCCTCCCAAGTGCTGGGATTAAAGGCATGAGCCACCAACGTCCGGCTGAGTGCTGGGATTTAAGGTGTGCGGCTCCATGCCATGGCAGAAATGGGGGTGGGGGGCTCCACTGGGAAATATGCGTGAGGGGGTAACGTAATAGGAGACTAAGGCTGTCCTCACAGGAGTGGGGATTCCTTTGAGGCAATGGAGCCCTCTGGTGGTAAGAGCTGAGTCTTGAACTAAGAGGTGGGGGGGTCTTCTCTGGGCGGCTTCTGCAGCTCTCAGATAGGAAGGAACGGGTTGGACAGCCCTGTCTGCCAGGAGAATTTTCACTGGCATTTCGAGAAACTGGCAGAGAACGCAGACTCTCCCTCACGCCTTCAGCAGTCCCAACCCTGACCCCTGTCGATTACCTTGCTGCTGCCTGTCTCTGGCCTCCAGTTCTCGTGGCCACGGGTAGGAGA